GAGCCTCTGACGGAATAGATATCAATTTCATGAAGTAAAATACTTAAATATTGATCAAGATCTAATAAATTTAATGTTCCACCAAACTTCACCTCATACAGCCAAAGTTTTTCATTGAATTCAACTATTTGTTAATGTTCAACAACTGCTTTCCACATGTTTTGTATGTTCATGAGGTGAAAGACATAAACAAAGCATGGTTCTTCTTCTACATCGAGTAATTTTTCAACAAATACCGATTGTGTCATTATCAAAACATTTTTGTAATAAATTGTTTTACATTTATCAAGCATTGTTTGATTAATACAATTCTCCTTTCATAAACATTGAGCTAATATTGATAACTGAGCGCAATTTGATGATTTTTAAACATGTTGTTTCAGTAGATACATTATAATTATTCTTATTAGATAGAATAAGGCATTGTCGAAGTTGAGATCTTTTGATAAGAGTAATTGCTGGATTTTTGAAATTAAACGATCTTAGAGCTAGTTGTTTAAAATACGACTGTTTTGGTTCGAACCTCATATACGAAAATTTTTGTGGGTGGTCTGTTTTCACAAAATATTCTCGGATATTCTGTAGCAAAATGAATCTTCGGTATGATGAGATCGGGCAAATGATATACCATTAATGATTGGAAATGTGTAGTTAACGACTGAAAATAAGGCAATCATGATTTTCTGAATATTTATTAATTAAATATAAGTAATTATTTCACTTAGGAATATATAAATATCCAATGTATTTGTCAATTGATCTATAATATCATACAATATAATTGACGTCAAATTAAATAAACATAACTTTTGACTTGCTGAACGAACAATATGGACTTTCGTAAGATATTTAGAACGAATTATAGGTGGCTTGTTTTTTTTTATCGTTTATTCCATAATTAAACGAATTCACCTTTTGTTATATTTGATCATATGCCATTATTCGTTTTGCTGATTCTTCTTTGAACATTGCTACTATTATGAGCGGGTAAACGCCTACATTATATGAAAACAAAACGACGAATAATGATTATACAAAGATAAGAAAATCAGTCCGCACCTTCAGCAAATTCATGCATTATACTATTAGAAAATGATTTGATAGGATGAAAGCCGACTCAATTCGATGAAGTACTTTCACCTATAACACCAGAAATAGTTCTGGTATTAAATGAATACATAACTTGTTGTACATAGGTATTGTGCTTAGTTACTGTGCGAGGTCAAAATGAAGCGTCTGTTAATGAAATCAATTTAAATTGATATGATATGTGACATAAACGGCAGAATTGCCCAGAATTAAAATTACGTTGAAAACTGCCAATAGTATTTGATGCAAGATTGTTGGCAATCAATAAACTAAATGTAAAAATGTAGTTGACCATTGCATGTCTGGACAGTCAACTCTATTGCTTTTAAATAATTTAAATCTTTGATGATAGGTTCAAAATATTTTATACGATTGGTTTGTGATGATAAATATTTTATAGAGTATATTCCAACAAGACCAATCCATTGTAGCATAGATCGTACAACATTCGATAAATCTTCTATAATGAAATAATACATTGTAAGTTTATGTTCGTACTTTTTAGGACCAATTGAATTTATAACTCCCATTCGAGGATGTGCGGTGTGAGTGTGGCTATTTCTAATAATCACATCCACACCCTTCATCCTTCTCTTCAAAGAGAAGAATCTCGTGTAAATACGATGGCAAACTATGACATACGACCGTTTATGGGCGTGAAAATACCGTAATTCTGTTGGCTATGGTTATTTGCGATACGTAGACGAGCATCGGAGTCTGAAACAGGTTGGATTTGATATTCCTCGCCTCGCCTCGAACTCAAATCTTTTTTCGCCAACCCGTCCCGCCTCGCTCCAACCTTAATTTTGTTTCTTCGGTACCTTGTTACAATTTCATAAGATATTTGCATTTTTTGACCATATTCTTTATTTGACTACATACTGTAAGTAGACACAAGGACACAAGAGTACAAAAAAAGGGGTGTGGGTATGTGAATATAGCTCGTGTACTCAATGACACCCATATCCACCCATACTCACCCTCTATGAAAAATTACACTGTGAAATAATTATTTGGTTCTGTTTAAACAACAGAATGTCATACGAAAGTAAGTTGAGACAATATAATAAGCATGCTATGACGAACTTCAACTTAGTAGAAAAATCCTATGCCCTTTCTCTCCCTAATATAATTTTTGACTTTCAGCAAAACAAATTTGATTTGAGAATGAGCACTTTTTAGTCAATTTTTCGAAAAGGGAACATGCAAAAACTGGAGAAAAATCACACTGGCTGGCAAAAAAATGATGTCTCTACCGACTAATAAAAACAATCAACTGTCTCGAAGTAGTCGAAAAATTGAGTGAGCATTTCGTGCCAAAACTTTCACACCATAGCTTAATAATATTTGAAATCTATTTATGTACAATTAATTCTCACTATATAAAACTTATTGCTATTTTCAATCGGCATCTAGCATTTTTTCTTGATTCATGTTTGGTAGTAAATATACTTTCTTAGTTCAACGTTATTGGTATAGACATAATGCTTTTGGTTTTTCGGTATTTCTAAGTTTTGAAGAAAAATAAATATTAATCTTTATTTATTGAATAACAAATAAAATTTCTTGAACGGTGATGTACAAAACAAATATATCATTTTGGTGACCAGACGGAACATATCCCTATGCAGGTTTAATTTTAATAAATCCCTTAGTTTTTGTTCATATAATTTGTTTTTTTTAATGTTTATATTCAATAAACGACATTGACAAGATAATAAAGAACAAACTCTTAATTAATACAAAACAGAAAGTATATATCTATACAAAAAAGACAATAAAAAATTTTCTTTTTATATGTCACTTCGCCATAATTTAATTGTTTTATCATTTTCTAATGCTCCACTAGCAATAATATTTTCTTTTGGATGACATGCACAACACATAACAACATCTGTATGTCCTTCAAGTTTTTGAACAATTTCTTTTGTTTGTAAATTCCATAAATATACACAATTATCTTCTGAACCACATACAATCCATTTCGAACCAGTAACAGAAAAATTTGCAAATAAGCAATATTTTTCATTTTTATGTCCAGTATATAATTTTAATGATTTACCTTTTGAATAATCCCATAATTTTAACGTATTATCAAGTGTTGCTGCTAAAATATATTTACCATTTGGAGAAAATTTAACAAAACTAACTGGTGGATTATCATCATCAATTAATGTTTTTAAACACATGCCAGATGATGTATCCCATATACGACAAAGACCATCATAAGATGATGATACAATCATTGTACCATCTCGACTATTATTTTTAATATATAAATATAATAAGAAAAACTAATTTTATTTGTTTAACTTACCTAAAATGAACAGCTGTTACAGGATCACTATGAGCTGGTAATGTACGTAAACATTTACTTGATCTAACATCCCAAATTTTAACACTTTCATCAAATGAACCACTAACAATTAAATTTGATTGTGGATTAAAATCACAACAAAATACATAATTTGTATGACCTTTTAATGTTTTTAAACATTTTGCTTTAGCTACATCCCAAATTTTTAATGTCTTATCATCACTAGCACTAACTAAATAACGACTATCGGATGACCATGCTAAATCGGATATACCTAATTTATGACCACTGATAGTTTTTTCCCATTTGCCATCATGTGCACCCCATAATTTAATTGTTTTATCAGCTGAACCCGATGCAAGTAATTCACCTGTTGGAGAAAATTTTAATGATGATACAGCTTTTAAATGACCAGTTAGAGTAAATTTAAGTGTATAATTAGGTTTCAGATCTTTTTGATTAGATTTTGATGTACTATTAGTTGTCGTATTGCTATTAGTAGTATTGGTAGCACCATTAGAAACATTTGATGGTGCTGATGAACGTGTTTTATCATCAGTCATTCTTAAATATTATCTGAAATAAAGAATAAAGATGAATAATTATCCTATTGATTAATAGATTTTGATAAAGCACATTGATTAATCATGACCATTAAAGTTCACATCATAGAACAAAATACTATAAGAATATGTTTCAGCAGAAGTTTTTGCATATAATACAACTAAAACAAAGGTTTTTAATTCTCGTAATATCTCACGAAAAACAATAATCTTTTGCTTTTGACATTATATCGTAAATGAAATTACTGCGTAGGTGAACGAAAGATTTTAATCAACATATATTCTATCGTTGAACATAAGTAAGAAAAATCATTCGGCTATTCAAACTGAATCAAAGTATATCAATCAATTGTTCTTTTTCTTCATACACTTTTATAATACTTATCAGCAAGTTCTCATATGATACTTTCAACATATGAATCTCGATTCAACCAATCTTTCAACGATACATAAATAAATGAAAATATGAATTTGATCATTCTACTATTCAACAATGTATTTTTTTTAATATTTACAAACGAAAGAAAAACTAATCATAATAAAGAACGAACTAGACATTATTCATACGTTGACGACGTGTAAATTCAAGATTTTTTGCCTGATTCCAATAGGATTCTGTTAAAGCCTTTTCACCATACGATAAAGTTTCTAATCTAAAAATTAAACAATAAAAAAACTTAATATAAATATCATTTATTATATTTTTTTTTGTTATTACCTAGCAAGTACGAGTAAAGTATGAAAATCATCAAGATTTGTTAATACTTTTTGTTTACGCATATTAACAAAATCTTCTTGTATATATGTATTAATATCTGACGAAACATTATTTATTGTTTGATCAAATTCAAGTTGTTGTCCAACATATGTTAAATAACAACGTATATTATCAATTTCTTCTTTTGTTAGATTTGGAAACGTTATTTCATTTACTTCTTGTTCAGATTGATAACGTATATAAATATCACATGGTAATATAGATTTAGTTGATGAAATAATTAAACAACGTACATCACATTCATAATCAAGTTGATAAACATGAAATTCATATTTAAGTGTTTGTTGACGAAGAAGATCTTGAAGTAATTTTATATTATTAAGACCTATAAAAAGATAATTTATGATTTTAAAAATAAATAAGACTGTTACTAATCCCAAGAAGATTGTTTTATTCTGTCTAACACTCCTTTCAGATCATGTTTCACAAAACAATCGGTTTTTCTTTTCTTACCAAGTGTTGTTAATTGCCCACATTCCATTTTTGTTTCATCAATAAGTAAATGTGAATTTAATGGTAATTGAAGTGGTGTTTGTGTTAATTGATTTTCATTATCATCATCTTTTGTTACATTTTTATTTGGCATTAATTGCATTGTATTTAATGTATTTACTGTTATGGTTATACGTGAATAAAGTGGTAATATTGTTTGAAATAATTGTTCAAGTGCATTGAATTGTTCAGTTGTTATATGTGACAAATTTAATGATAACTTACCATATGCTAATGATGGTTGTCGAACATAGATACGTGATATCAAATGTAATAATAAATATTCACAAAGAAGTTTATCATTTGGAAAAATACATTCAAATAATGAAAGAATATATTCACGAGATATTGAAACTAAAAGAAAATTTTATTTTTTGCTTTTTAATTGAATAAATCAAATTAATTAATTATACTTTGACTGAATTCCATATTTGGTAAATGATATAATAATGGATTGATATGAGATAACTTTTTATATTGAATACAATGAATAGTTTTGACTTGTGAAAGTTTATCCGGATCCATTTCATTACTAATAAAAGAAAACACGATGATTAGATATTACGAAAATTAGTCTCTGTGTAGAACCGATCTCATATTTGTCGAGATCTTTTCTACTGATTATTAGAGATGTAAACCGATCGATACAGCTGTTGTTACACAGAAAAATAAATGTTTGGTTTCTAAAAACTTTCAACGTCCCAAATCAGCTTTTGGGCATGTTACCGACTGTTTTTTTTTTGTCAATATATTCTCTATCATCGTTGGGACACTGATAAATGTCTCGCTTTCCATCTCTACTTATCATAGGCTGAAATTTTTATATATGGGATTAGTAAGTATTAAGCAGTTGGCTTTGTTCCTTCGTTAGACTTTTCTGGAAACATATGTTGCATAATAACTATTTGTTTGTGGTCAATTAAACAGTTACAATCTATCCTTTCGTAGTTTATTCATATGGTAATCAGAAATAAACTCTGAACGATGGAGTAGTCGAGAAATTCACTGTTCGTTATAAACCTAATTATTATTGATATTCTCTTTAAACTTTTATTCAGTAATTAACTTACATTGATTGAATACTATCAGCTTTGATAACAGAATGATCATAATAAATTCCAATAAATTCAACCAATGTATTGAGTAAGATTTCTTCGGTAGTATCGTACACCTATTAAGAGAAAATTTCTTTAGAAAAAACTTTAAATTCTTTTTTTTTCGTTTGTATACATTACCTTAACCATATGATTAGATTTTGAAATTGTTTTCACTGGTTCTACTTTTACTATTGCTTCATTATTATCATTATTTGTTTCCATAGATGTTGTGGTTTTTAATCGTTTAAGAGGTGATAATAATTGTTGAATATTATCTTGATCATTAATTGATCTAATCAATGAAAATTATTTTTGCTAAATAAATAAAGATTAATAAAAAAATTTCTTACCGTTTTTGCATTGTAAATTGTTCACCAAAATGAAGTCGATAATTATCTTTAACCCATTGAGTTTCATTTGGAATAGGAATACATGAAAAACATTGACGTGAACGAAAATTTTCTCTTGGTGGTTCTTGTTCAATAATAGTGTATCCAGGCTATAGAGAATAAGAAAACATAGTAAAATTCATCAATAAAATTACAAAAACAAAATTCTACTTACTGGACATAAAAATAAATCCATATACTTAGCCGATTTTTCAATTTCAACTTGATGATGATCATTCGATCGAACTTTATAGTGAGCTTAAATTAACAAAAAAACTTAGTCAGCAAAGCTCCACTGGAACGAACATGTGGAATATAGTTCTGCAAAGTAAGACTAATTCGTATACTACACGCTATCCTACAGCGGTTTTTAGACCCTTGCTCTATCCCACCAGTAAACTTTCCAGGTTTTGCACGTATCAACATGAAGTTTTCTTCAGTATGTTTCAGCATATTTTATTGAATTCCAACTTTAAGTAAATAAAAAAATTATTGTCAAGTTTCAAAAGTATCATAACAATAAAATGTCATTAACAATGTTGCTGCTCAATTCTATCTTCTCTTTTGCGAAATTCTTCCACTTGCACTGACGATATGTTCACTTGTGGTTGAACGTGTCATAACTCCCAATAGCCTTTTACCAATGCATTAAATTATGAATAGCTCCATTAGCCCAACACTAATTCTTCTTTACCAAGACTTAATTTCACTTTAGCATAACGACCCGCTTCTTCTAAATTAGAAAGATGTCAGGAATATCTTCGAATTTCCTTTTTCAAAAACTCTTAGCAATATAAACAACAGTTCAATATTATCTTAAGCGTTATCGCATCATCGTTACCCTACTCTTTCCTGCAAGATTTTAGCGTGAAACTCACAGGTGTTCTTTAGCCTTATTATACTTGAATTAAAAGATCTCTAAAAGATCAGTTGTCTTCCAAGAATCATTGATCGTCAGGAAAACAACCTGTCTTATTTATTTCTGCTTTTTTTTCACCGGTGCGCTAATTTATGTCTGTACGTTTTCCGTATGCAAAGCATAATAGAAAGTTAGTTGTTTCAGCATTGTCTGTTCAATTTCTGTTAGAAAGTCGAACGAACACACTTTCTACCAAACTTTCCATCTATCCCACTCTCAAATACGATTGGGGACTCTGTTCGCAAACGTATCTCGAAAAAGGATTTAGAGTGTTCTAGAATAGTCTAAGACTTGTTGTTAGTGCTAATCCGCGCCTTTTTTCGTTGCTACAGAGCGCGAAGAGAGAAGGCTAACACCTGTTATCTTCGTTTACTATCGAAAAATACCTAATGATTACACATGCAAACAAATCTAACATGAGAATTTGATTATTTCGAAACTTAGCTCATCGATTGACAACTGTACTAGTAAAATATCGCGCTATAAATATAGAAGGATGTTTGTCTTTGACAACAAAATGAAGAACAACGCAATGAACTGTTCAGTTTAGTAAAAGATTGAAAGAAAACTGAACAACAGGTTTCTCATTAACTCTAATGCATAGTTTAGCAATCTTGTCGAAATTCTTCTTTTGACACTTTCTAACATCACGTTCCTCTTTCAATTTTCTAATGACGGAATTTTTTTTGTCACCTGATTCAGTAGCTAAAAGCATTTTTCTTTATTTAGGCGAAAAACAACACAAACAGTTTGGGCACATGTCTATCAAACACCATTAGCTTTGCCTCCTACGTTGCTACGAGAAACGTGAAAGGAGAGTCGCGAAATGTTGACTTAAATAAAATTTTCAAAACATACTACAATAAATTTCATCATCAGCCATATCTTGTACCATAGCTCGATAACGTACAAGACAACCAGATGGTAATGAACATTCATCATGATGATCATTCAATGATGGAATTTCTTTATATAAATCAGGATTGTTGATATGTGTTTGAAAATAATTTCGTACGTCATTTTCAAATGTACTTGGAGATTTTTCTGAATAAAATAAAATCTGAATACTTTTAAAAATATAATAAAAAAAAGGAATATTACCATGCAACCGATTGATAATTGTCATCGGATGCGTTATCCAATCTTCGATAAAAGGCATTATCTATAAAAAAAACTGATAGATGAAGAAAAAGAAAGAAAATTTTTAAGTTTAAAGTTCTTGTATAAGAAACTGAAAAAAACAAATTTTTTTAACAATAAATGTTTATGATTCTAGTCTTTTGTTTCATGTGGTTTAATCTTTGCGTAATGGATGAACATCAGTTTCAATGCCTTTCTCCTTGGTTAATGTATGAATAACAACACCATCACCAAGTTCAACATTACGTTCACATGCAGCCATATAAATATCTTTTATCATTTTAACAGTTTCTTCTTTTGTTCGCTTAACTTGACCTGGTTTTGATGTATTTTTACCAAGAATCTAAAAAATATAAATCAAAAACTATTAAATGAAATTCTTAACATAACTTACATTTGCATCAAGTATTGGTAAAATAAGTGGCATAGCACTACCTTCACATGCATAAAGTTGTTTTGTCATTGAACCAACAGGATCAAATGCATAAATACAACCTTTACCATCAGTATCCAAACCAGTAATAACTGTATTTGTATAATAAGGAAAAAATCGACGACCATACATCATAATAGAAATCATTTGAGCCAAAGCCGGAGTTGATATTGGTTTATTATGAGTATATTCATATGTCTAAAAACATTCGTATTTTTTTTTTGTAGTCGAAAACTTATTCTTTACTACAAACTAACCTTAATACGACCTTCAAGTGTTTTCTTAAGTGTAAGTACATCACCAAGAAAACCTGTTGATAAAAGTAACGAATTGTTGTGCCTACAATAAAAAAGTGTTAGATCAATCTCTATGAGCTTAAAATGTGAAACACGATGTAGTTGCTGTTGCTTATCATAGGGAGATCGTTTTATTCTATATATTTTCGGGCATATTTCCTCATTAGCCTTTTACTTACACACTCCAGAAATGCAATTAGTAGCTCATTTATCATAACCAGGTGTTATTAATAAACAATAATTTTACAGAGCTAGCCGTTTAGACGATGCTGTAGAAAAAATTATTCTTTGTTTTCCCTCAGAATCTAAACGTGCAAATAAAAGAATTTTTTTATCATTGTATAGAGTTTGATTTGAAGATTCAAAAGCATATACTTGATTTCTCTGGCAGACAGCTTAATTTTGTCAGCTATCAATTATTTTGGATGACATAACAATTTTCAAGGTAATATTTAGGCAACTATTTTTTCAGTTATTTTGAGGTTTATAAGAAAATTACTTAAATCATCAGATAGACTATATTTCAAAGTCTATTTCCTAATCTTGAAAAAGTGAAATTTTAATTTTTAGCCAAATGCTCACATAGATGCACACTGTGTGGAAGTGCAAAGTTTCATAGTCCGTCTATATCGTGTTTCACAAAAGGAAATAGTAAGAAATATAGTTATGATATTTAGATTCATACATTTTATACACATTACTATGTGTACGAGATTGTATTGAATAATTTTCTGTTAAACGTGTGTCACTTGCAACAACAACATAATCGTCACCGGCAACAGCAACTGTTGTACTATAGAAAAACAGGTTTTTTGAATAAAACTTTTATCAAACACCAAAACTTACCCGGATTGAAATTCATATGGATACCAGCTATGTTCTTTAACCATTTTATATTTTTCCTAATTAAATGTTGAAAAAAAGAATATTTATCTTAAATAAAAAAAAAAGAAAGAAAAGCAATTTTGCTTGAAAGAATCGAAGAATTATAGGAATATTAAAAGATAATATGTGATTTTTAAGAAAAGCAAATATATGATTATGAAAAAACTGTTCTTTATAGTTTACAAAGAACAGGTACGTCAATTTTGTCATATGATTGAGCCAGTGGATAACATGGTAATTTACTTTTCCACATATGTATATTTTCAATCCATTCCACCTATTAGAAATAAAAAAAAATTCCTTATATTTTTCTTTCTTTTTACTGTAGTTTTACTTTTGGTAAATTGAGTTCTTTTATAGGCAAATTGAGTTCGGTTCCTTTTAATTTTGATTCAGTTAAATTATCAATTACAACTGGTTGTTCAGTTAATTTTATTGCTTCATGATCGATACTGGCGGTTGCAGTAGTCTCTGCCTGAGTATGTTCTTCATCAGCATTAGAAAGTAACTCATCATCATTCGTAGCATCTAGTTCATCTTCATTTTCATCAGTATTTGTTTCATTAATTGGTTTTTGAAGTGCTAATGATGATGGATTAACATGAACTGCTAATTTACGTCGATACATTGAATTTAATGATATATAATGATCATAAAAACGAAGTAAATCATTACGTTCTAATGTTTTTATAATTTCAACTTCAAGTTGAGCTAAAAGAAAAGAAAAAAAATCCAAAGTTTTATTTATGAATATTTTTATGCTTGACTTTTTTTTCTCGATTCTTACGTCGATCAAAACAAAATTGATGATTTGTTATTTCATTCCAAAATTTATTTCCTTGACTTTGCATCTTTTTTGGTACTTCTACTTTTTTAACCATATAACCTTCACGTTGTTTTTTAAATAAATCATCAGGCATTGTTGATATATATTCCTATTAAAAACATAAATCATTTTAAGAAAAATCATCCGATATCAATATGATTGTATTGCAAATCGAAAAAGTTATGAATATGAAAGTGATCAGTAAGACTAAGTTCTTGTAGTTTCAAGAAAATTTTTCTAAAGCAACATAAATAGAGACTTGATCAGGGAGACTCTATGGCGTTAAGCAAATAAATTTCGAAATAGTTTGTTCTAAATCTAAACTACGCAAACTTGGTCTCGCATGTCTCTAACCGCAGAATACTCGTTCATGTTTATGAGAGAACTGCTCAACATTGAAAAATTTATTCTAAATCAAGACTACATGCATTCTGTAGAAACAAATGAGGCATGAATAGTCTGAAAAAGAGTTCGTGGCTTTAGATAATTGCTCGAGAGATGTCACACTTTTACATTACTTTTAAATGTATGCCGGAGTAGTAGAAATTCTGATTTTTGAATGTCAATTTGAAACCTTGCATAGAGATAGATCTAAATTAGAGTAGGTTTTTGTGGATATTTCAGATGTTGTTGTTATTTCTTTAGTAAGAATCAATTGTGATAATAGAATGCCATTTACATAGCTCTGTTTTCATGCAGTTTCCAGTCGACATTCTAAAATCAGTTTTTCGGTTACTACAGCATTCACATTTTAAAAGTACCACGACATTGTCATGCCTTCGGGGCAATAAGCTAAGCGCATGAACTCTCTTGAGAGTATTCATAGCTCATTTGGGTCTATATAATGCACATATTCTCGATTAATCTGTTGGAGAACTCACTTCATTATATAAGAACACGCTAGTTCTGCTCATGTCAATTCATACTACGTAATAATGTGTCAACAAGAATAGTTAGTACAGATGACTTCTTTTTTTTTCAACATACTCAAATTTCTTATATTTTGTTTCGAAGTGGCTCATACATCACCTTTCAAGCATGTTTAGTTTCTTAATGACCAAATAGATCAAAATAGCAGTTATTTTTATGTCATAAACTAATGTTCCCTATGAGACTAAGAAAATATTTTCTTGAATTTTGTTATTTATTTATTTTTTTCATACATACTCTTATCGAATCAATAAATAATTCAATACGGTGATTAACATAACCGAGTTGTCGAGCAGATTGAACAATAACTCGAAAACCTTGTACACCACGTGAACGACGTGTACCTGAACTAACAACATAACCTAATTGTTCTTTTGTTCGTAATTGATCAAAACAAGGTTCATCAACAAGATGACAAAATAATTCAAGTAAAGCATTATTTTCAAATGTTTGTTGAAAACATTGTAAATAAATTTCAATAGCATGTAATTTATGTGCATCATTTAGCATCGTGTATGCATAATTACAACCTACGAAAACAAAAAAAAAACAATCAAGAAAATGTTTATTTAAACTTTATCAGTCATACAAAAGAAAAATAAAACTAACCTTCAGGTAATATTAATTCACGTTGATTAAACCACATACTTGGAAAAAGTGGTTGATAGAAATGTTTTTCTTGAAATTTTTGCACAACAGAAGTCATATATTCTATAGCTTGCTATGAAAATAAAATTCTAATAAAATCAAATAAAACAAAAATTTATTTTTCTTACATTTTCTGTTAAATTTCCATACATTAATGAATCAGTATAAAAACGATTTAACATTCGAGGAATGAATGATTCGACATCAGTCATCGTAATACCTTAAAACAAAGCAAAAGATGCATTTCTTAATCTAATATCATCTGTTTTTGAAAATTTACCGTCAATACAACTAAGTAATTCATCTTTATTCCATTGATATTCAGCTGTTAAATAAGTTACACCAAAATGTGCCATTTGATAGGGAACATCACGTCGAAAATTTTGTAATGCTCGTTTAACCTAGAGAATAAATTTCTCAAAAATTTTAATTCCTTCACATTCAATTACTTTTTCTTTAATATTTTCAAATCGTTGTGCATGTATTTTAATATTAACCATGCGATCAATAATTGTATCAAGTAATTCTTTTATTTTATGATTATATCCATATAGGGTTAACTAAAACAAAAACAAAAATCATATATTTTTCTTTATCCTCATTTAGAATTAATATAAAAATTACCTGAATACCATAATTAACAGCAGATAATTCATATTGTAATCCTCCAAGTTGTGCTGGATAAACAACTTCAGTTAATGAATCTTCAACTAATTCAACATATAATGTATTCATATTAAAATGTATTGGATCAACATTTCCTAATGGACTAAATTTAATATTGAATAAGTATAAAAATGAAATATCATAGAAAAATAAATCTCAATCATACTTTCGAAGTTCAAAATAAAGATAAGCTTTAGGTAATTTATAAAATGAATCATCAGTATAATAGAGACGATAAAACTCATTTTCCTTAAAAAAAAAACAATTCAAAATTTTAAAACCTTCAACAAAATGAATTTATTTTCTATTTGACTTTAATTTTTCTTGGTAATTGTGGTCGTGTGGAACTTTTTTCTTTTGAATATAAATGAAAATCAGTTGGAATAAATTCATTTGGTTTTGGTAAATGAAGTTCAGGAATAATATCACATGTTTCACATTTTTGAATAAGTTCTTCTGGTAAATATTCTTTTTTATATTGTGTACCAAACCATTTTTCTTTTTCTGTTGCTATTGATACAAATTCTTTACTTGTAATGAATACTCTAATGAAAAAGGAAAATTTTATATTTAAATATTTCGTTCGTGACTTTTTTTGTTCTACCTCATTTTACTTGGAATTAAACATTCATTGAGGACTTTATTTATTAAATCTGGACGAAATTCACGCATTTCATAATCACCAGAAAGACATTCAATTAATGGATAATCCTAAACAGAAGAATTTTCCTACTCCATAACATCCAATCAAATATAATATATCGCAGATTTAAAAATCAATTGTGAAATATCTGTGAAAGATATGTTGTATTGTCATTGAGATAGAAACAGAGAGTTCGAAAAGTTTCCAGATTGATTTTAAGAACAACAACAACTAGTACTGCTATATTAGTGTTATTGTCTGAGTGTAATTCATACAATCTATGAAAATATGGAAAAAGATTGTAGGACAGAAAATCAAAAAAAAAATATATGAAAATTGCTTAATGGTAAAATTTCTTGTGATGAAAAATCATGCATTATCTAATTTTTATGGACTTATGGTGACTATTTATAAAAGCTGATTTTTCATTGCTTATGATAACTTCTAAATCAAATTTTCGCTTTAAAGGTGAACTATTAGCGATATATGTCGATAAAATAGTTATAACAACTTTTGAAGATTTAATAATCGAAGATGATGTTAAATTACAGCTAGATAATTACCGAATATTTGTCTCATTTGAAATGATCAATTACTTTTAGTTAAAATCGAAGAATGGAAACGCTACTTTCTCTTATCATATGATTAAATATAGTAAACTGTCTTTACAAATTCGTAAATATTCGATGGCAAGTGTTTTGTCAGAGGTTAAAATATTGCTCAAGTTTTTCGTTTTATATCCGTGTATTTAGGGTCATCTAAAATGTATTCCTATGCTTTCGTATATATCGAGTTGTCAATAAATGAAACTGCTTTTTTTCTCGGTGCTAGAGAACTCTTCAAAGTTATAAAGGAATATACTACTGATCGAAAGTATCTCCCTGTGATCTCAGTTACTCTTGATTCTAGATCTTTGAAACTCTTGGCATATGTACTAACTTAGAAGTGTAGCCCAACGAGATCAACTTACTCAACTTTAACAAAAGTTATGATGTGTGATAACTCTTGTCATAACGAGTTCTATAGTTCAAAAATGGGAAGGAACGTACAACTTAAATTGTCTATAATTATGTAAAATATCCACAGCTATGTGAGGCTTACGTAATGATAGATGTGCCAAGTCATAATTTTCTCTCTTTTCGAAATAAATCAACATATATGATTGAGTTTTCGGTTTCTTTCTAATAATGGTTCGGATCAGTAATTACCGCTAAGTTCAAAAATGACTCTACTAGAAATAAGTTTCTCGCTCATCTTCATAGAAAAACTTTTCAGAAAAAAACAAATATTGCCTCCAACTATGATTGTTCGCTTAATTATCAATAAATACTAAGGAAAACGACAGTTAGCCTCAGTCGAGAAAATAACATTTACATCGATCTGATTTACACATTTTCTGTAAATACTCACAATGATTAAAATCAATCTTTCTCAAAGTTCATTTAACATGTCTATAAAAACATGTAGGAAGAAAAAATTCAATAAAAAATACCCTTATTCGACCAGCTAAATTTGAAACAAAATCATCCGGTCGTTCTTTTTCACGAAATTGAAAATGCATTTCATTTAAATTCTAAATATTAAGTATAAAAAAAAAATTTTGTTGTTTAAATTTCGAATGCTCATATTACTTTGCATTCATTAAAAATCCATTCTTTTGGTCCTTCTTTACGTAACATTGTTAAATATTGATAAACAATATAAATAACTTGTTCCCATCGATCTAATTTCAAAAAACAATCAAAACAATTTGTTATAATTAACGCTTTCTTTTTTTCAAAATTTAATTTACTTAATCCTTCGATAGTTAATTCCAAATCAACAGTAAAAAAATTAAATCCAGGTGCAGAATTTTTATCACCAGATGATAATTCAATAGCAAGACCCAATTGTTTTAAATATGACAATAGTGAACCATCACCTTCATGTCCAATCAAATGCGATAGATATGATTCAGGCTGAATGAAATCGAGATATTCTTCAACATATGAAGATTAAGATAACTTGGTTAAATGATCAATACTTACATTACAATAATATAAGTCTTTATAATCAGGTATAACCCAATTTATTGTTAAATGACGACTTTCTTTGACAGGAACAACATAACATATTGTCTGTAGAAACAAAAACAAAATTAAGTTTTCAAAAAAAGTTGTCTAATAAAAACAAACCTTTCGATTCTTTTCACCATATGGATCGGGTGAATATTTTGGTTTTTGTAATTTTTTATTTGGTATATCTTTAAAACTCTTCATCACAAGTGATTGAAGTTCATCAAGGGATTCTAAAGGAAAGAAAAAAATATTTTTATTTAAAGAATTGTGTCGAATGAGATGATAATCCTTCATTTGAAAAACTACTTATACAACATCAGAGAGTAACTCATGCCGCATCGATGGCATACAGAAAATTGTGTTATTAAGTTTTAGTATTCTGACATTCAAAATATCACTTACAGATATTATATCAATTGCAGGTAATATAACTAAATATTACGACTCTAAATGTCTACAAATCTATCTATATAGAATATTCATTAAATTTAATTCAAGAGAGCTTCATCTGGTTTTCAACCATCTAAATTTAATCCTGAGAACCAAGGCGACCAAAGATAGTGGCTGACTATCTTCTGAATTATTGCACACCATGGTCAAATCAACCTGTCAGTTCCTAAGAACAGAAAAGCATATGGGTTTTGAGATAAGTAATTTTTAAGTGAATAAGTTTCTATCTATTAATAATAAATTCATCATGTTCTGTCATTTGGCATATTTGAATCTTCCGAAAAAGATAGAAAAAGTTTCTTGCTTTCAGACACTTGCAGAAAAGTACGAGAACACGTAGTTTTCTATTCTCATAAGAGACTGAACCTATATTGTATTAGTTAGAGTTCTATACTATAATTATATTCAGCTACTCAGAGGTATTGTTCGGACGTTCGGGCAATGATACACTTGTATTCATAAAATAATCAATTAATATACTTCGGAAGTTTGATGGTACACAATTTCAAAGTATTGAAAATATTATAAAAGCTAAAAATTACAGACAATAGCAAAATGCTGAAGTTTTTCTGGCGGAGAAAGTTAAGGTGAGAGTAGCATTCGTCTACACGACTGAAGGCTAGATAAAATTCTATTCAATCAACTATAAACAAAATTTTATACAGGTTGGTTTGGAAACATAGTGAGTCTTCTATATTTGGTCATACTACTCTCAATTGCTATAAAATCCCTCAACTGGTATATGACTTTTCACAACACTAAGACATGATGAAGATGTTATGTACTCTATATCATTTGATGCGCCACAAATCGTTCTACAAAGTTATATAATTGGCTTTTCAAATAAAGCATGGTCATTTTATCCGACAGAATTTTGTCAAAAATAGAGAGCCTAATAACATACGATTGCCAAGGACAGCTAAACTCATTCGATTTGATGAATATTGAGTTTTATAAAAATTTAGAAGTACTTCTTGAATATCAATTCCACGTTGTTTAGGTATTGTTCTTAAGGATTCTGTGTTGCCAATAGAAAATCCTGAATATGGATGTTCTGAATCTGATGTAGATTTTTCTAATTGAGCTATACGCCATATATCTTTAAATAAATTTCCTTCATATTCAGAATTAACTGCTTCTAATTCACGATCAGTTGATGATGCAGCAAACAATGGCGAAATAAAAAATTGAGCAAAACTGAATCGACATAGAAAAAAAAAATTCATTCATTTCATTAACATAAATACATATATAAACAAAGGATACAACTTACATATCAAGTGCATCGGGTAATAAACTTGGATTAATATCAAAATAATAATTTGTATGATCAGGACTAGTAAATGCATTTGAATAACCACCATTACCTTCTATGAGTTTTGAATATTCATTTTCACCTGGATACTAGCAAAAAAAACAACAGACAAATTTACCAAAGAATTCACACTATTGGTGAATGTAAAGAAAGACCTACTTTTGAACTACCCATAAATAGCATATGTTCAAGAAAATGTGCAATACCAGAAACATCTCGTGGATCAGCTAAACTACCAATTGAAACATCGAGTGCAGCAGCAGCTTTATCAATATTTGGATGACTTATAAGTACAACAAGCATTTCATTTGAAAGTTCTAACCCACGATAATGCCATGAATCAGATGCACTTTTTTTAATGTTATCAACAATACGAACTATTGTTGCATTTGATGATGAAACTTGTTTTTCAGAATCGATGGCCATAAAGTAAACTTTTCAAATGAATAGACAATTTATGTCGGCGGGAAAGATATAGAAAGAAAATGAATAAGTGACAATAACAAAAAAATAATAATATCCAATGAACATTTTAAGTGTAAAGATAACTTTTAATGCCATTGAGGAATAAGAAAGTAGCGCTACAATCTATATCTTATGGATTTATATAGAGTGCGTTGATAGTTTAAACGTAACACCAGTTACTTATTGGACGTAAGGTGACAAGTTTTTTGTGCAATCATATATCTGCGTATTTATTGTTGCTATTACAATATGTCCATATATTTGAAGAAAAAAAAATTGGAGGACAAGTTTTTGTTGAAGTATTTTTACAGTGCTGATCGATTAACGGTGATTCATTTAAACAATAAAACATTAAAGTTTAAATGTAAATCACTTGTTGGATCAAAGTATTAATCGAGTCTATTTCATAAATGTGAAGACCATTATGAATATTACATCTTGCTCATTTCGATGTGCTATTTGACATGAACACAACTCAGTAAAATTTGTTAAGATAGCTTGCAGATAGTTACCTATCAGCTATTAGAATCGTTTTTTGACTGTGCGTGATTGTTCGTAGAACGTTTGTTATTCATTCAATTGCATAGGAAACTTGTCAGTGAGGCTTCGTGAGAAGTCGAAATGTGAAAGTCACGATCTCTAACTGTTATAAATTTCTGGTATATTGTCAAAATATTTGAAATTATATTATTCAAAAATAATGCCCAATAATTCAATTAGTTCACACTCTTCTATGTTTGTCCTATTCTGACTCTGTTACATCAATAATACTATCGTTCTACTGATCGATATCAATCAATACGATCTTGTCTCTATATTGAATTCCAAAACCTGCAATATTTGTCTCAACATTGTTGTTATTGACGCGTCCTTTCTACTTGGTAGGGTCTAGGGAATAGCCAAGCCGTAGAGACCCTGATTTAAATTTACATTCACTATTTTCTTCGAAAATATACGTCAGTTTCACAAAATAATGGATAATACAATTCACTAACTTAATTTGAATGAAAATTCTTAGCAAGCTTTTCAGCATCAATCAAAACGAATAGAATTGGTGCTTAATGAATTTTTTTATTGGCTATATAACTAACTGTCTCAAATAGAATTCTTCATGATAATAGAATCCAATACTATTTAAAATATTTTCCATTTATGAAAACGTTTCTTGTAGTAAATTCAACGAATATGAAAGGTTTTTCTTAATAACGATTCGATCATACAAATAAATTGAATTATATGTGTATGCAAGAAATATCTAGAAAAAGGAAAATTCCTGAGTAAGACTCTTGAACATGAAACTACGTTGTGAGTTCGCATCAAGCATTGCTATTCATAATTAAATAATTCCAAATGTAATTATTATTGATGATCGAACAGTTAATTTAATTGCATATTATATCCAATAATCAATGGAAAGCATCATGCAAAGCACTTTCTTTCTAATCTACTCAAACTAAAGAGTTCTTGATGACTTGTTGTATTAATCATTAAGGAACTTCATCTTTTGATCTGTTCGATAATGTTAGACTATTCGATCTCCATTGGACTAGATGCTCTGATCTTATGAAAAGTATGAGCTGCTGATTCACTCTTCTAATTCGTTCTCGTTCTAGTATATAAGTTCGTGTTCTATATGAAATAGATACAATCAGAGTGATAGAGTAGTGCAGTGAACCTCTATAGTAAAGGTAACAATAACGCTACTCTTTCAATTTGTCGTTATTGGTTACAATAATATATAGGCTTCACTGGTAACGAAAGAGAAAATCGTCTCATCTCTCTCATTTTTGTTACATGTCATGTGTTTTGTTAGTATATTATAGCTCTATCTAAAAGGTATTCGTTGACTTTTATACAGGATACGGTTATATAACCATAGAAAGGTGGCTACAGTGTTTTTTTAGTACTTTAGTTTTTTTAATGTATATAAGTGTCAAACTATTATTAGAGTCTTTTCGTGCTTATTCTTGTAACAATTATGTGTTGGATGTTGGTATACTATCTTTTTGCAACAAGTTCTTGTTAGGAGAGACAAATCATTATTAATTTTCTTTCATTAGACGTAAATGTCTTAATAAAATAAAATGCAAATTATCACATATCAAAAATTCATTTTTCAGTTGTATTTACTTGTTTAGTTGTAATTTAAAGTATTCTTCTGTACTTTATTATGGAAACAAAAATGACTTGGGAAAAATTGTGGATAAAAAACGAAAAGCATTGTTTGCACTTATTCCTGAGAAATGGCATATTCCAAGTGGTCAGCTGCCAGCCGAATCCCAACGATCCGTTATTTCATTTATTGAGCAAAGTAATTTATTGACTGCCGAAGAATTGGCTATAACTGCATTAAACGTCAAAGAGCTAGCTGAAAAGATTGCCTCAGAATTAATTGTCTTATTGAAATATGCTTTGATGCTGCATTGAAACAAGCAAAAGAACTTGACGAATATTTCCAAAAGCACGGATGAACAGTAGGTTTGCTTCATGGTGTACCTGTTTCGCTTAAGGATTAGTTTCGTGTCAAAGGATTGGAATCGTGTGTTGGTTATGTTAGTTGCTTAGGAACCGTAGATGAAGAGGAAACTTTATTAACTAAATTGTTACGAAAAGCAGGTATGTAAAATATAGACATATATAAGACAATTCAATGTTGTCTATAAAATTCTACAAAGAAAATTTTGAAAATTTTTCTATGATATCAAACTAAAAAAAGTAAGGAATTATAAAAGCAATAAGATGTTTGATACAGTTTTAAGCGGAACGATCTACGAAACTGAATGAACGCTAAATCTATTTCATTATATCTAATTATGACTAGGTGCTGTTATATATGTCAAGACAAATATTTCACAAACGTTAATGTTTGGAGAAACAGTCAATAATATTATTGGACGAACAGTCAATCCTTACAATCGATTGCTTGCATGTGGCGGATCCAGTGGTGGTGAAGGTGCACTACTTGCACTTCATGGTAGTTCAGTGGGTGTTGGTACAGATCTTGCAGGATCAATTCGTATACCAGCATCATCCAGCAATTTATGGAGTTTGAAGCCTAGTCATGAAAGAATACCATTAGAAAATATAAAGACAACTTTAGACGGAAAATAATCAATTCCTTCTGTTTATGGTCCAATAGCACATTGTGCTAGCGATTTAGTTTATTTTATGCAAGCAGTTTTACAACAGGAACCTTGGAGATATGATCCGAAATCAATTGATATACCTTGGCGAGAGACACGATATTTGGAAGGCAAAACTGGAAAGAAAGTCTTTGGAGTCATAGCTGCTGACGGATAAGTAAATGATTATTATTATATAAAACCAATTATCGAAAAATAAAATTTTCTGTTCAGTAGTCTTATGAAATTCTGATTTTCTTCTTAGTGTTTTCAAAACATAGTCTAATACACTACTGTTCAAAACAAAATATTTCTATAGTCATTAAAGTTTAATAAAATAGTAGAAATGAAAAGCTTCAGAAGCTCGTTTACGATTGCAATGTGATTGAAACATGAAAAAAAATCCATTCAAAAAATATTTTCTCAACTGATGTCAATAAACATGAATCGAACTCGATTTCTGATTTGATATTCGAGACCGAAATAGTTCTAATTCACTTTTGGCTTCGGGTACTCTTCAATCAGATCTAGAGAGTATTGAGTCTTTAGATCATTGTCTAAGCGTTTTTGAAGTATATAAACGGTGATAGAAGCTTCATATAGTTCGGTCAAGTTTAAATTTGGATTGAAATATTCTTGAATATCGTTGACTTTCTTTTAGAATGCGCTTATCTATTAAAGTTTTAGATCATTTATTTTATTGTGTACAGATCTATCGTCACCAACACTGAATGTCATTGTTTTCGTTTACTTCTATTCCATTTTATTAATTAATTGAAAATGGACTGCACTCGAAGCCGAACCGGTATCTAAACGATTAAACTTTGGCGCATGTGTAGAGTTAAAAGATTAATTAGTGTTTTTTTTTTGTATTTTCTAAATAAGACTATCAATTATTTTTTGAAAGGATCTTTGGATTCGATGGTGTTATAATGCCACATCCTCGAATTCTCCGTGGTATTCAACAGGTTGTTACTGCTTTACGAAAAGTCGATCATACTGTTGTCGAATGGTAACCATACAAACATAAGTATGGGGTTGATTTATTTCACAAAATCCTTGCTGCTGATGGGGCAGTACGTATAAAGCGCGCTATCGCATCAAGTGGGGAACCGGTTATTCCTAATTTTAAAAAAGATTATGAATTAAACGTGCCAGTAATCGACCTTGGATCACTTTGGAATCTGCATAGTGAGAAGTACAAATATCAAAAAGAGTATTTGACTGTTTGGCAACAACAATCCCATATAGATGCATGGATTTTGCCTGTAGCTTCATGTTCTGCTGTTAAACATGATGATTTCAAATATTTTGGCTATACTGGAGTGATTAATCTACTTGATTGGCCAGCAACGACTATATCTGTGACATTTGCTGACAAAGACAAAGATATCAAGAACATGCAATACAAAAGTATGAGTGATCTTGATAAGGAGACATATAAAGCTTATGATTCTGATATTTATGATGGGGAACCTGTAGGAATTCAATTAGTAGGCAAACGATTTCAAGAAGAATATTTACTTGGCTTAGCTGAACAGATCGGCGAAGCTTTAGTGGCCTAATACATACAGTAAACACATAAAATTTTGATCAAACCTATCATTCAATTGTGTCTAAAATGACGATGCTATAGTTTTAATGATTTATATTTTAAAATAATTTCATTTGACCTTTTATTCTGAATTTTCAATAATATTCACTTCATTATTTTCTCTTCGAAATAAATTATCATAGCAAAATTTTCATGATTATATGAATTACTTCTATCGGAAATTATAGTAGCTGTTGAATTGGAAATAAAGTATTTATAATAATTTATTCTTGTCAAAGTAAGCTTTTTACACAATACGATATATTCACTTGAATGGATATGATGATTAATTGTAATATCTATTTCAATTTATATTCAACACAATTAGAATTCTTATTAAGTCAATAAACGAAATAATATTCATCATGTGTAAAAAATAATAATCAACATACTTAAGAAAGTCTTTAGTCTCTTTAGTTAATTCCTTTCAGGAAACTGGAAGTTTAAAATGTAACAAAAAATAAAAGCAACTATACATTATTCTATCATTTTTGACTATACAACAGCATATATATGTGCTTGTACCGATAGACTTTCTCCATCTAATATTTCAAGCTGGAACTATTTTTAATCGATAGAGTCTAGTGAGCAAGTAAATATCCAAGAGTGACTCGATCAAATAGGTCTTTGTTGCTGATATATCAACTTTAGAGTGAGTTTTTTCTGTGTTGCTTGAATTTTCAAACGAAATTATACTTTCGAATATTTATGTGAAATCAAGCTCATAGAGGCCACTAGTTAGACTAACTTGTACAAAAAGCTTTAAAATTTTTTCAGTAACATTCTCCGAGCTATGAGATTTTTAAAACATAGGTGCTTTGACATAGTTATTGTAAAAAATATGGATCTATTGAGTGATTCATATCTCGAAGATAGTTGGTTAAAAAATTCTGAAAATTTTTTCTACAAGCTAGTCTAATCGGTGCCTTTCTGTAAATAAATTTTCAAATCAAAATTTATAAGTATGATTTTGCTTTTGAAACTGTAGTGCTACAGAAAAAATCCACTAAAAATTTGATGTCTTAGCAATAAATATTCATCAACTTGATCCACTCTATGGTATTTGGCAAGCTTTCCTGGTGCATATTGTTGACATATTAATAGATGATGCCATTCTCGTCACATTCTATCATGATCAAGACTAAGGTAGTTCTACTTATTGACATATCAAAGGTATGCAGTAGAACCTGAAAATACATATAACATTCGATACAGGATGTCTATCTCTACAAACCTACATGTATCTCATCTTGTAGTCAAAATCTTATGGTTTCCATTCACACTTGATTCAGATCTTTGTATATTTTCTTCTATTTAAAATATGAAAGAAACAATTTAATAATATGAGCCACTAATAGAACAAAATTTATTTTTCTCTAATAGCGAATAAGATTTTGATTATTGGTTTTTCTTTCATTTTTTTGTCAGTTAAATCATTTTGTAATAAAAAAAAAACATATTCCTTCGAAAATCGAGTATATGACAATCAGTAAGCATGCCAATCATGTCAAAAATGATTTTAGCTGAAACAGTAGTAAAATATCAAACATGTTTGTAACACTATTTCATATTTTGGATAAGTCAAAAAACGTCAATAAGCTGTTTTTTCTTGGAGAATTAAATTCATTCAGACTCAATTATTTGGTCTTTCTTAGAATTATGATCTTTTTATAAATAGAGACAGTAAAAAAACGTGACGAATCATTATTTCTGTAACTAAATATATGTTTTTTATAATATTCTTTGCACAGCGCTCGTGTGTACTAGGTTACTATGCAAGAAAAAACCCTTATCACTTACGTTATCAAAACCATGAGTGCGTCTTTTTCATAAAGAGCATTAAAACTGCAAAAAAGGAGAGTATTGTTACAATGAAACTTACTCGAGTATGTTTTCTTCTGATTCTTTTGGTTCCAATGAGTATTTCTCAATCGCTTCGGTGTGCACAATTATGTGCTTTTATTCGTATGCCAATTAATGGCAGTATACCTGTAGACGATGCATGTGAATTTATTACACGAAGCAATTCCCAGTGTTCAGTATTTGTGGAAATTAATCATGAAAAACGTGAAGCTACAGGTCGTTTAGGTATGGAAACATGCAGTGAAACTTCTATACGTCGTGTAGACACTATAGTTAAATTAGACTTTTCATTATTGTCAATTATCCGATATACGTGTAAGAAAAATGATTGTGATATCGAGTTTCTTAACAATTTATTAGAACGTGCTCGTAATATACCTTTAGTGAATAGAAACTTAACTGAAGAAAATATAGGTGACTTAATTTACAACACAACACTTGGTACATCTCCTACCAGTTGCAATAGTAGTGCACCGCCGTGTTCAGCTAATGAAATTTGTGAAGGACAATTTGATATCGAAGATATTTCGAATGATATTTCTATTAATCGATATAGTAACATAACATGTTATAATCCGTCAAGAGATGATTATTTGTTAAATATTAGGCAAAACTATGGGTCTAATAACACTCAAACGATTAAAATGACTTTTCGATGTAAATTTGACAATTGTGTTAACCCGACTAATGCAAAAGAGATCTATGAATGGCTAGAGCCTAATTTCATCAATGAAACATTTAATTTCTTCGATAGTGATGAAGATTGCATGTCAATAGAATCAACTGGTACTTCATTTTTCATTTTGTCTTATAGACTAATCAATATTGTAATTATATTTCTTTTATTTTATTGATTAGTGATGAGGGGAAAAGAAAACAATTCAGTTTATTTATTTATTGTATTACACATAATCAAGTGTTGGTTTTTCGGATGAAATAATAAAGTTATAACAATAAAAAACACATTTAATCACATCGAAAAATTACATAATAAGAATAATTGTCAGATGTAAAATGAATGAATATTTTGCAGAAAATCTGTTGATTGACACCATGAAACAAAGACAAATGAAAAATGTTTTATTTGTTAATAAGATTTATTTTTTTAAGCCGAATGCTTAATAATCATAGTTGATTGATAATAGTTTTAATATTAATATGATATTCAGAAAATTCTCGGTATGTATCATGGATACTAATAATAACGAAATTATGTCCACCAAGACATGCACTGTAACTGGCTGTGGCCTGGTGCTCACATCAAATGATTCGCATTCGGAAAATATACAACTACTTTAGACAGTATCAGGTATTTGACTGATTGCACAAAAGTTTCTTGAGGTATATGGACAATTATGGAAACACTCTAAGCAATGCTTTATCCAGAATAAGGGTTTAGAGGGCAGTGTTTTTTCCAGAATGACGCTAGTAGTTATTGCAACTTGTAATATGTGTCTATTATTCCTAAAATAAGTGTTCATCTTCTCGAAATTTTGCATTGTTTCTCCAAAAGGGAAAATCTGGATAAAATATCGACTATGAGATTCAGTTTCGAAGATTTCCGAACACTGTTGCTTCTTTCAGTATGCCTGTAGACTTTTTGTTTTTGAATCACTTATTTCACTGTACGTATATCTATCATAACTCGATCTGATATCCTTTCTTGTCGTTTATTTCTACTTTCTTTTACTGACAAACTAAAAATGATCGCAATCAAGACTGATTCTCAACGTTCGGATTTGGTGCACGTCTGTTGTCACCGTTACCCACATATACTGAACGGTGTTGATGACGTCAAATTAGTAATTGTGTTCACACAAGAACATTAGTTATTATTACCACAATATCCATAAAAATGTTTTCGATTTATAGAATAGCCAGTGCCGATTTTGCAATTTATTCTATGACAACGATTCTTCTGCATATGCATAAAATATTGCCATGAAAACAAGTATTAATAATTGCTACAATCCCATTTATTCCATTGTCATGAATGATTGATATTTAACGTCGTTCACTAGTAAACAAATGTCATCAAGAATTTATATGTGATAATAAATCTTGACCTCTAGTGAATATCTTCAGGGTCTATTCAACAGTGGTTTTTCAAGTGAATTTTCTTGTTGGGTTTTTTTAAGTAATTCTGATATTTTTGATCGACTTCTTTTAGATCTAAAAGCCATGGTATTAATAGCTGTTCTGGTTGATAGAGTTATTTTATAATACTTGCTGAGGTAATTGAATTTTTAATGTATACAAAAATCATGTCTTGTTTCATCGCATCTATAGATGCAATGTTATGAAAGACTAGTTCTAGTGAACTATAAAAGACATGTCAAAATTAATTTTTATCAAATGAACCCTTATTCACCTGAATTTTAGAAACAATAATCCAATTTTCGATAGAAAATTTTTTTCTTGATGTTCAGATACATACATTCAGTGAGGTATTCGTAAAGATTAAAATTGCTCGACCTATCGATATCCTTTGTAGAACAGTCAAAATTTTTGAATTAATTCAGAATTTTCTTTATAATCTGCTATACAGCAAGATGATTTTTCCAAAGTCAAAGTAGTTGTAATTCTTTCTCCTTTTAGGTTCTAATATATCAATTTGATTATCTCACAATTGTCTATTGTTCCAAGATTTTTGTTATGCATAAATAAATCTCAGTTACGATGGAGTAATATTCTTTTTTATTATTAAAAATAAGTAAAAAGAAAAATTTTAAATAAGTAGAAATATTTCTTGTTGGTTTATTTCTTGTGTGTGTTTAAAGCAAAATTTGTAAAGATATTATATTAAATAAATTTGTTCTGTTCCTAATGATATGTTGAAAATCCAAGTAATGAGTTAGACATACTACTTGCGGTTGATGATGTTGAGTTTACTGGAATAAGTAAAGATTTTTCGGTTGGATGAAAAGCAAAATCACAGACATTTTCCAAAACATTTTCATTCTTATCAATCGGTGAAACGTGATATTCTATGGTTGATGATAGTTTCGGTTTCTCTTGTTGTTCATCTATTGATACATATCGTATTTTTCGATAAAAACTTTCAATTGTTGGGTGATGTGTATTAGTTTGTTGATCTTCTTCGATAATTTTTAGGCTGATTGGTAGCACTGACGCAAGAAGAACACTACGATCAATTTTAATATTTGGCTTACGACCACTTAATAATGCAGTAGATGGAGATTTAAAAACTAAATTCATAACTTGCATAAATTCTGGTGAGTCCGAGTCATGTGTCATCACAGAACGAATTTCATATAAACTATCTACATTAAAATTTGGTTGACGTACAAAACATTGTGACCATATGCGAGAGACACGTATTTGTCGGAGGTTTTTATTTGTATCACATAATAATGTAAAATATTCTGATGGAGATGATGTTACATAACAATCAAATTCATATTCTATTTTATTTTTGTTTGTTGTTGAGTATGATGGCTAAAAAATGCAGTAAGAGGAAAAAATTGATATGAATAATATTTAATTCGAATTTACATGTAGAATGTTTAATTCATCAACATTGGCATAATTAAAACGAATAAATTGATCACTGTTTTCTTGAATAAATTCTTTTAATTTACCAAGTTTGTTAGGAAATGTATTTTGTTCAATAAAATAAATATGACCGTAGAAAACTATTAAACTAAGTGGTCCATGTATTGTTTCATTATAAGTCGATGACTTTTTCTTGAAAACATCCTGTTTTTCTATATATGATTTTATTTTGTTTATTATTTGTTTTCTATCAGGACTTTCAGTTGCTTCTTTCTTTATATTGACTACAAAAAAATTTTTACTGATTGAAGAAAATTCAACAACAGCCGCATCTGTAATATTCATATCAACACCCATAAGAAAATCTGGACGACATTCACCTATTTTCGATATTCCTGAAGGTGACCATGAAGCTAATGATGAAGAAGCAGATGATGGAGGAACACTAGAATTTACTAATGCACAAGCATCTTCTGTACTAAAAGCAACAAGAAAAGTTGATTGTAAAAATAAAGCTAGACCAATTTACTTTGAAGATTTCTTTGGTTTTAGATTTGTTGCAGATTTTTTTGTTACAGGTGTTTCTGATTTTGTTGTTACAGGTGTTTCTGGTGGATTTGATTTATCTTGTGGTGGTTTTTTAGCATTTTTTTTAATTTCTGGCTGAGGATTTTCATCTGGTTTCATGAGAGGTTTGGCAGAGGTTTTTTCACTTGGCCTAAAATTAGGTTAAATAAATAATTATGAAAATAAAACAAAAACAAACCTTACAATCTTACCGTGGTGTTGATGTTTCATCACTTGATGAATCGTTTTTATTAAGTTTGTTACGCATTTTTCTTTTAGGTTTTTTTTGATTGATATCTTCTTGATAAATACCTCCGTTAAGCCATTTTTTAAATCCTTCATCTTTAATATCATTAGCTGATGTATCTTTAATAGCTTTCATTCTTTGTGGACATCTAATAAATATAGGATTTTCTTTCCATTTAAAATAGTTTTCTTTAGCTTGTATAAAAAGTATTTCTAATATACTGTTTGATTTATATGTCCGTTCAGCAAATTTTCTCATATATTCTGGCCAATCTTTACAATATTTCTTTTGAAATGGTCTAAGTTCTTGCATATCAATAAAGTGTCCTGTTTTGGGAGAATCAACAGCAATTGAAAATAATTCTGCTAATTTTTTACATTCGTCTGAAAATGAATGTTGTGAATGTTTATCAGCTACAACTGTATGTGTATTTGCAATCATGCCTAAAATGATACTAGCTCCAAACGATTTAATAATATGTTCGATGATTATGTCTGAAGTAATTGATGGCACTTCTGATTTTTTTGCTCCAGTATATGATAATGGTTCTACAGGTTTCTCAATCCTTAAACGGTCACCCCAATAAACCCAATATTGATCACCATCTAAATCTGAACCAGATATTTCATTTGAATGTGGACGTTCTCCTTTAGTTGGAAAAACGATTACATCACGCATACATTCTTCTAATTTATCATTACGAACAGCTGTCAATCGACGGAAATCACCGGGCCATAAGCATGGATTTTTTGTAACAATTATCGTACCTTGATAAAATAAAAAGCTTTCAAATATATTAAGTACTTATACAAAATTTACCAGTAACAACGTGAAATCTTCTTTGACCTTTCGTAGTTGGATTTAATGTTGAATATTGTATGAAACATTGACCATATTCTAATTCACCAGTTTCGTCTGCTATACCAAACAAATTTCGACCATCTGTTGGAGGGATAGGTATACGATTTGTTAGTAAATTGTCTTTACTAAAATAATTTATTCATTTATGTCTTTATTCCTTATGCTGTAAAATAGAAGGTAGGTTATACAGAACATGATAGAATTTTTTCGGAATGCTCATGCAAACTCGACAATAAATTTCTATTTTCGTGAAAATACGATATTGAAGAAACTTTGATATTCAAGATTTTATTTTCTGCTTAGAAAATCACGATCGTATCCATATGGATCAGAGACATCCATGCTCAGAGAAAAGAAATTCTCTGTGTACACTTCTGTTTATGGTGAAAATACAATATGTAAACGGGTCTGACATCATTATAATACTTGATGCAGAAATATGACCGTGTTGTAGTGAGATTACGATACATATACGGCTACCTATAGTGAAAATATGATATTATATATAGCCTCGTATTGTTATGTCCGGCATCACCAAAACATACGATTAGTTTACTGCCACAAAGTTGCTCTTTTTTCACTGTTCACTGACGCAAAAAGAAACGTAAATGATACCTGTTGTGAGCAATCTGAATGGCGGAATTGCGACAGCTTCTTTTTTTAGGAAAATTGTAAAATGGCATGAGCTTTCACTCCATTTGAGTATGGACAACTCCAACAGTCAAAATCATGATTAATCTGGAGGATTCAATCTAATTGTGCTAATCTAGTACTGTGACAGAAGAGATTTTTGAAAAATTTTTCGACAACGACAAATTTTCCGCCGCAATAGACATCTGTGATATCGACACTTCTAGTGTACGGTACTTAATTTCATATGCTGAATATTTACCCAAAAACAGAATATCCATTATCAATTTGCCTCTTTACAATAAATTGTTCTTTCATCTCTATATTGATTTTACGTATAGTCTTAACTCTACTCATAGATCAAGACCACATATACAATTAAGAAAAAATTAGTCTTTACTCGAGAAATCATACTTCAAACATATAAAAAAAAACATAATTATCTTACAAATATTCTTATGTAAATATAATGAAAGCGGAATGTGGTTGTATACAAAAGTGACATCATAACTACTAGAGAATTGCTTTAATGTACTTAATTAACTATGAAAAAGTTCCAGTAGAAATGAAATTATATAAAACGAGCGCTTTTGATATCAGAAAAGTGTTTTAAATTGAGAAATCAATATTCCACGCAAGAACGATACACAAAGGACTATGTATAGTTCAAAAACAAAAACATAAGAAATATAGGAAATATTGTCAGCAAAAAAAACCATATTTACTACTCTTCATGATCAAGAGAAAATAATTTATTGTTTGTATTTATTATTATACAGTAAGCTAGAATGTGTTGATTTTTTCCTCGCTGTAATGTAGATTGATTTTCTATAAAATTAGCATTCATAGTAAAACACCATTAAAACGTGTATTTGATTCTTCAGTTCATTCGAAAATAATTTTTTTCGAAAAGTGGATTGAAATTTTACTTCATGAAAAAATCGAACATTTTCTCAAAAATTATATAATCGCTCGACAATTAATAATAATTTGAAACTTTTTCAGGTTTTGCTAATTCGATTTTCTAGTAAGTAGAATTTACTCGAAGGTTATCATGTACACTAAAAGGATACGATCTAGAACCAGAAATCGACCTGTATTTGTCTGTCTATGTCTTTGTAACATGATTAGCATATGGTAATTATGATCCAAACAGTCATCTAATACCAATGGTACGAATGGCTGTGCAGAATGACACTGGGCACCAACATTCTAAAATGATTTCACTTATAGCGACGAAAAAAGTCTTTCATACGGATGCAAACTCGGAACGTTTTGTTCGATTTTGTACTAAACCTAAAAAGTTACGGTACGAAAAGTACCAAGACTTCATCACTCCATGGATCTTTCAAAAGGTATCGTTAAGTAGGTCGATAGATATGTCAATATATGTTTAAAAAGAATTTTAATCGTAGTAATTAATTATCCTATTGTCGTTTTCAAAAAGCAATGGGTGTGGTTGTTTTTTGAAGAACTCTAGAATGGAAAGAGGTAGGAACCGGCGGTTTTCACCATTTGAAAGAAGAGACATCACAACGTCTTCTTCTCCAATAGTGTATAAGATGGAATCATTTTAAAATCAACCGTTTTTATAAAATATCGAAAAAATGCAGAAAAATTATCTGCCGTTGAGATGAAATTTTAACAAAAAGTGATAAAATTGGCTTAAAAATTAGGAGAAATTCATATTTTTCGAGCGAGTAAATAGAGAATTTTATTTACTTAACATTAGAAAATGTGAATATAATCATTCGCCTTATATCTGAAACTATAGATTTGAAGTTCCTCTATCTAAATCACATATCAAAACCAAAATTCATCGCAACGACAGACAGTTTTCATGCAGTTTTTGAAATGTTTTGGAGAAATAATTGATTTTAAAACGATTTCATCTATATACAATATTGAACAAAACAACGCTCCGGTTTCATCTCTTTCGAACGGTGAAAACCGCAGCTCACTGACTGTTTCCATTCTAAAGTTATTCAAAAAATTGCCACACCCACGGCTTTTTGAAAACGACATTAGTAGAAAAATCAAAAATATTGCACATACATTTTCAACTGAACTTAATCAATGAAATATAACCTACTCAAAATTGGTTTTTCTTTATACGTAAGCATAAAAATCAAGTTTTATATTACAAAAAAATTAGTTGTGTGAAACGAATCGCTGTTATATCTCGAATCACGTGTTGTAGTTATCTAGTACTTTACTTAACGTACATTTATATCAAGATGTTCCTACATGAAGATCTCTATTCCATCAATCTAGATCTAAGTGTATCAAATCTCTTTTTGTAGAAAAATTAATTACTTACGATAATGAATAAGACATATTTTTCTGTACTGCAATATCAATAACACTTGGTTGTTGTTCTTCCGGAACTTCCCATTGAGTAAAACCTTGATTTTGAAGAGCAATAAATGCACCATTTGGATTTCCTAAATCACTTAAAAGTCGAATAACTTGATTATTTAATGTTAATGGCACTAAATAATCATATATTATATTAAAAAAAATGTAACAATTAGTAAATGTTAATATTTTACTTGGTCGAGCATATTCACATATTTCTAAATTCCAATCATTACTTGGAAATTTAATCATTGATGAACGTACACAAATATAATAATCATTTAATGTTGACTCTGGATCAATAGCTACCATACCTTTACAACCAGCTACACGTATTTGAAATGCTGATGGAATATCTTCCTAAAATAGAATTAAATACATAAATATTAAATTTGAATCTTTTAAACAAACTTGGCAAAAAATTGGAATATTCATTTTTTGAGCTACACGTCCAGCTAAACCCCATGATATTTTACCGACACCATCCGTAAAACAATATTTATTTCTTTCAATATCATTAATTTCAAAAACATAATTTAATTCACCGTTTGGACGTATAGCATTTTTGTTTTCTACTTTCGTCAATGTAATCTACAAAAAAAAATGATACATATAAGTTATTTAATACAAACAATGAACATCTCGAAAAATTAAAACTTACATTTATGGGCCATGTCGTGGAAAAATATTGGCCAACACGAGCAATATAAGTAGCAATATTTTTAATATCATCAAATGTTCCTAGTTTTTGATGTGCTTCTGTAATATTCTTTATATTAGGAGGTAAATCCATGAACCAATAAGACATCTGTTTCATTTGACCTGTACTTGCACCCATATATTTAAATTTTCTTTTAAATAATTCAATACCATTTTGCATTGAATTTCTTACTCGTTTTTCAATACTCTTATTAGAAACACGTAATAGTCGATTATCTTCATCACGCAAATGTACAAGTAGAAATCGTTCAACACCACCAAATCTATATAAAAATTTATTAATTTTAATAATAATAAAAAAGAAAAACAACAATTATAAAATAAACTTACTGAGGATTTCTTAAAGCTCGACTTCCAGTTGTAACTTCAAATGGTTGAAAAATAATTTTTAATGGTGTTAATGTACAAAAAGCAACTTTAAGTCGTTTTCTATCGTCAATTAACATAGCCTTGTCGTCCATATCATTATCAGATTTTTTTGTTTTTTTTCTTCTTTCATTATAATCATATTCGGTTCGTGTTAAATCGTATCCATGATCTTTACTTAATTGTTCAACAGCAAAACAACATAAAGCATGACGTTCATTAACATTCCATTTATGCCAATTTAATTCTTGATCAGTTAATTGTGCCCATTTATCTCGAAATACATATCCAAGTGAGATAAGCATTTGTAAACTATAACGATCTTGAAATGAAGCATTATTAAAATTAAATGGATTTGGTCTTTGATTTTTATTATTTTCTTTTGACCAATCAGATATTTTGAAACAAGAAAAATTAAGTTCATATGCGTGTGAATCAGATATTAAAAAATGAGAAAGAAACAACCAAGGTATATCTGGAGATGGTGTAAAATGAAAAACTACATCAGAACAATGCACTATTTCTTGAATAAATGAAACATTTTCTTCATCAGCACATAGTCTAAAAATTAAAAAATGTTTAAGAAAAAAAAAAAAGAACAATTATTTTGATAATCCTACCGAACTTGTTTCTTATCTGAATTTTCATCATCATTATCTTCATCTTTGACTGATTCCAATCGATAAATGTTTGGTAAATATTTAAGTGATAGTAATACATAGACTCCATTCTTTGCATTTTCTTTATTAACTACAATATTTCTTTTTTGAATCGAATCAAATGAAATTACTATACGTATTTTATCAAATTCAATAAATAAACTGTTTGGTATGGATCCTGTTGGTTTAAATGAAAGTTGAGCAATTTTATTATCAAATGGAACATGTGAATAAAATTGATTATAAGATCGGAGTGAACCGAATTGACATGTTGCACGAAATGTTGATCCTTCATGTCTAATATCATCAACCGTTATTAATGAACGTGGTATAAGCAAATGAAGAGGATCCGAAAGAATAGAAAACCATACAGGTGAATCTATGCTTGGCAATACGCGAGTAAGATTGTTACGAATATTATTGACTTCTTCACGAGTAACTTTAAAATCGATTGTATCATTTCCGCCTTTTCCACAATTTTTTATACCTGATTCATCAAATACTTTTGGATTGACAAACCTAAAATAAAGTATTGAAAATATAAGACTGAAATAATATAAGAAAAGAAAACGTACGTTTTTATATTTGCTGCAATTTGTTCACCGTCTCTCTTCGATGGTATATGTTTAAATCGACAGTATACTTTTTCGTCCATATTTGTAAATGAAAATATATTTCAAAAAATATTGAGGACAAAAAATGAATAAAAATACTAATTTTATTAAAAGTTTATGTATTCGGTCACTATCTTGATTTTATATGAACTTTCACTTAATTTTGCCCACAAGTAAACTTGTCTTATAATATGTGTCGAAGAAGACGTATAATCTTAAATCAGAAAAGACACCTGTATGTATATAATGCAATTGGAGTTTTTTTCGGTTACTAATAAGTGAAAAATCCAACTGACGCGTCGGTACTTAACATATTTCAATGTTGGTTTTTTCTATTGCTTAAAGACGCCGTATGAATACGGCAAAACCACTGTTGGGAAATCTTTATTACTTGCTATAGGTAATGCGAATGAAAAAAAAAATTCATGGTAGTCGCCTCAACAAAAAAAAGCGAATTGATAAATATGTCTATTTAAAATCGAGTCACATTTTCTATTATTATGAGTGGGAAAAAAAAATACGTGAGAAGAACATTAAAAAAAAGTTTGACTTGACATAATATATTTCGCTTCCAATTATTACACAAATCATGTGCAATACTCTGGGTGGGAAAAATGTTTTAATATCTAATGAACGATTTCTAGTATGACAACTACAAATAAATTTCATTTGGAAAAAAAAATTTACCAATGTAAGTTCTTTTGTTGACAAAAACTAATTACGATTTTAAAGAGACATCTTTCAGCTATTGCGCATTTTTTTTTTATCCAAATGAAGAAAAAGAGAACGCTTAAAAACCATTCAA